ATTGAAAAGAAAACAGAGCCAGATTTTTTATTTATTTTTCTGCTTTTTGTAAAAGGAAATGGAATTTTTTTCAAATGCAAGAAACAAATGAAAACAATCAACATAACAGGTTGAATCATTATTCTTGCTTAAAGCATTACTATATGGTCAAGAGCCTTTACCTGTAAAGTCACCAGTTTGATTCTTCCACATCCATAACTGACCAAGATTAACTCAAAGAACCTTCTGGAAGGTCCACACAAGAAAACCCTAGAGAAATAATTTCCTCAAACTTGAACTGCAGATCATATGTTCTCTGTGTGGAATATGAAGTCATACTAATTCTAACATGCTAACAATAGCTGATGTTAGTTACTTGCAACACATACCTCTGGAAATCAACTTAAGGAAATTACATTTAAAATTATATATTTTTCCCAAACCCACGAGGGCAGAGTCTAGGCTACATATATTAATAATTGGTTAATTTATAATATTAGAAGTAAGACAGATAGGGCTAGAGCATTAATGGAATTCAAGAGTATCATCAGGCAAGGATTCAAATTTGGAAAAGAACTGAAAGGAAGTCTCTGACCAAATGATTAAAACCCAACATCCAATGAGAAATGGGATTCCAGACACCCTACAGTCCTCTTAGCTCCTTCCAGAACAATGTTTTCCCATTTACCCTATCAAAACACAAAATATTTCTCAAGTGATTATTTTTATATTTTATATTGATGTCAAATCTAGCTTTTTCCTTGGACAAGAGAATTTTACAGCACCTGCTAAGTTGTTCTCAACCTAAAGGGCTAAGTCCTCAGTGTGCCTGTTTTTCAGGTATAGAAAGGATTCAAAAAACCTTTGTAGAAACAAGATGCATAGAAACTCCTTCTGTAACCCTGGGCAATCCTGATAATATGTGAGGCACACTTGAGAAAGGGACTTCCTCTGGCATGTAAAAAGAAAGATGGAGAAATAAAGTTAAATGAAGATGGGAGCAGCATTGCTCACCGAAGGGAGATCAAACACTCCATAGAAAATACATGTTACGGTGCCATTGCCCTCTGGGATTTACAGGATTATGAAAGTCTAACTTAATTAAGGGAGAAAATAGGTCACATTTAACAACCACATACGTGACATATCATTTTGACTATACAGAATAACTGGAGAGAAGAGAAAAATTAAGAAATCAGAAATATAAGAAAAGCAACCATGGAATTCATCAACCTCTTTTCCTCCTAAGTCAGGTGTATGTTTAGATTATGTATATACGAAAAGATTTACCATTCTTAAAACTTTCCTCTTTAAAAACTCTTGCAGTATATTTGAAAAAATAAATTTCAAATGTCAAAATAAAGAGAAACAAAATGGCACAACCAAATTTTTTTTAAAAAACTAAATTAAGAGATAATAAATATTCTTCTCCTCATAAAAATACACCTTGCACCCTTTTCCTTTCTCCCCCCTTGTGTCATCAAATGACAGGTAATTGGGTACGTGTGAACCCTGCATAGAATCTTGCCCCTTTCATGGCTCCATGCCCCTGTGGGTTCAAGCTAATTACAGGTACATTTCCTCTGCAAGGCAGTCACACTCTATACTGTTGAAGGTACAATTAATAATTGAAAAAGCTAGCTGGGTATTTTTGCTCACATGGCCATGGGTTGCAGGCAGTTTTGCTGTCACACAGGGAGCAGAGCCTCCTCCTTGAGTGCCTCCAAGAAAGGTTTCATGTTATAGACTGAAAAGGATCACTGCCTTTTTCCAAATTTGGAAAAGAAGGGAAAAAACCCACGTAAGACCAAAAAAAACCACAAAACCCCCACGATAAACCTAGTTTCCCTTATAGAACAGTAAAGGCAAATTTTCTCTCCTGTTACCAGGAATGTGATTATGATCAGGTGGTTATTTAGGTCAGATGTGAAATAGATGAAAGAGTGGGACTGGGAATTAATACCCTTTGGAAGGGAAATTGGAGTTTGCCCTTGAGTTTGTGAATGCAGCATGGAGCTAGTTTTGCATGTGACAGAATAGAATTTGACCCACAGAGAGGGCCTAGCTAGAGGATTATAGAAGAATAAAGTTCTTTCCCTTGAGATATATTTAGGAACTTAATGGAAGATATCCCCAGAGCCTCATGAGGTCATAGATGAGTGCAGAAAATCCTTATCTGTGCCCTAAGCCATAGTCTTGAGCAATGGTCTGTAAACTTTTCTAAAGGGCCAGATAGAAAATATTTTAGGTCTTGTGAGCCAAGCCATCTTTGTTGCAACTACTAAACTCTCCTGTTTTAGAACAAAAGCAGCCATAGACAACACAAAAATGAATAAGTATGGGTGTGTTTCAATAAAACTTTATTTATGGACACTCAAATATGAACGTCAAATTTTTTGCATGTCAAAAAATAAAATTCTTCTTTTGATTTTTCCAACCATTTAATCATTTAAGAACCACTTTTAGCTTGTGGGCAGTACAAAAGTGGGACAGGCCGGATTTGGCCCACAGACCACAGTTTGCTGACCCCCTGGGCTTCTATTAGAAATCCCTGTGAGTATACTGATTTTTCAACTTGATTTTGAAGTGTCCAGCATTCTCTGAGTATGTAAATGCTACCTTTACTCTGGAAGATATGGTCTCTTGTTGATTTTAAAACACCATGGATACCAGGTTATTCAGGATTCAAATCAGATATTATCATTAAAAAGTTAGCTACGGAGATCTAAACTCCTAGGTCCAGCCTGGAAAAATCTTGAAACTCTGATTCTATCTTATTATTTTTCTGAACCCAAAGGATAATAAAGAATATATCTTTGGGTTCAGGTCATGAATAGCATTTCTCCCTGAAAATAAAAAAAAAAAAAATAATAAAAAATTTAAAAAACCCAACTACTTAATAGTTAGTAGTATACCAAAAGGAACAGTCTTTTTATTAATTTAATTCATTCCTTGTTTATAAGTTGACCATAATCTATCTTCCTTCCTTCTTCCCTTCTTCTCTCTACCACTTGTTCCACAAAAAGAAATAAGAGATTATAAACAATATATTTATATAGATGTTTAAATTAATTAGAAAAGGTGAGACAACATAAAAAATAATAGTAAGAAAACAAGAGGAAAGCAAGAGCATAGTCTCTATATGAATTTGATGCCATAAAATGGCACAGAGTTTAAATGTTTAAAATCCATTTTATTAACATGTATTTTATATATGATTTCCTACATTCTTTTACAAATGGGCAATAAATTTGTCTCTAAGGTTAGTAATAGTCAATTCCATGGACTCATAATCATTTATAAAAATTCACTGAATTCATTCATAAAAAACCAAAAAATTGTTTAGAAAAGGGGCAGTAGAAATACTGAAAACAAAGAGGAATTTTCTCAAAAGGTATTTTCAAAAGGAAACTGTAATAAAATTAACAATCTCTCAAAACATTATAGTTAATGCAATGATTTTAAAGGATATTTTTATAACATCTTTAAATATGGGCCAATAGCTTTTATACCAAATAGTCATTCAGTAAAAACAATTCTACATTGGAAAGGAGTAGGTGTGGGATTGGGGGATAATATAATTCCATCCAGGCAGAATGTGCTCTGGATGTTTAATTTAACCCATGGGAAAGGTGTGTGATATCCAGAGGTTCACACTTCAGACAATCTTCCATATGCAATTTTTTCCATGTGAAGTATAAAACAGCTCTGAGAGGAAATGAGTTTGAGATTGATCTTCCGAATAAGTGCCTCATTTATTGCTCTTACATATTGTCAATAAATGACAAGTTGCATGCATTAAAAATTAGGATGGGTTCTGAGTGACACTCTCTTAAGAAAACAGAAGCCTTTAATAAGAATAGCTGCCAAAATAAGAGACCATTCTATAAGGTGGTCCAAATTCACCTGAAAAATTAATCTGAGAGCTAACATGACATGAAGGCCCCTATTCTCAACCATAAAATACAGATTTTAAAGATGCTTTAAGCAAACGCTACCTTGGCTTTTTAGAAATACCCCAGGATAACTTCCATATATGTCTCACTTTGCATAACAATTTTGTATAGTGTTCATTCCAGAACGACTATATTGTTAATCAAATCTCTAAATCCTTCTATAAAGCAATTTTAAGATAATATCAGATATAAATCAATTAAAAATTGAGGGCTATCTACCAAAATAAATTACATTTTATAAGAATAATTGATCCACAACCCTTCTTTCTGAGAAATCAAATAGCAGGCCCTATTCTACAAAGACTATGCCATTTGTAAAAGCATGGTGTTGCTTATAAGAAAATGAAATCTGTAGAGCAGGAGAGCATGTAGGCAGTCAAGCCAAGTAATTTGATACAATATTTAAGTGAAGTTCAAAAAGTATCAGGGCCTGAGAATTCAGTTATGGTGGTGCTGAGAAGGGGGAAGGGAGGATGCCGAAGACATTTCTGGTAAAGGATTTTCTGACTTTTACTGAATTTACATCAATAGCTAGTGACCCGTCATGAGCTCATGCAGCTTAGTCCATGCCTGATGACCCTCCATACAGCCAGATACCAAGGACATCAGAAGTCACTAACAATTTTATATTATTCCTGAAAGGTTTCATCACAAGGTGCTACATATTAGGAAATTGTAGTTAAAAAGCAAAGCAAAACAAACAAACAAAAAAATACAAAGAACTGGTAAATTTAATTCATACCAAAACATTGCTCCAGGACACTCAAGCACAAAACTGGCATACATTTTAGACATAATACCAGGTCATTTAATGCATTTAAGTCTTCTGTATTTGTTGCCTTGAGGTGATGTTCTATTTGAAAATGAAATAAGAAATGGTTGTAGACTTTATAGAGATGAACACATTAGCAAAGACCAGGGAGGACAAAGGTAATTCCTAAATTGCATTGTATTAGTGTTTTAATAACCAGATACAAGTTTGCCTTTCTGATCCAATGGAATCTCCAGAAGCATGAAGATATCTTAAATGATGTGTGGTATTTTGAAGACTAGATGGTTGCTTACCAGTTGGCGTAAGGTGTCTCCAGGTGATCACAGGTTCAGGGCGGCCATTGGCCATGCAGACCAGGGTTACATTGCTGCCCTCATTCACAGTGACATCCGAAGAGATGTTGGAGATCTTTGGTGGAACTGTAAAGACAAAAGCAAATGGAATATGTAACCATGCCCATAAAACCAGCTTTGCAGCATTGGTCCATGTCACTGGAAATAGCAAATCTTAGCTAAATGCTTTTATGACTTAAACCATTTGAAGTTTTGTGTTAAGAAGCCAGACTGCTTTAAGACCTCCTTACAGACTTGGCCAATGAAAAGCATGGTCTTACTATAAAGAGAATCTCTCCTCTATGACCAAGTAGTGTAGGAAGTTCACAGAGGAGTATAATGAAAATGTCTTAGCTCTTTTCTCATTAGAATAGACCTTATCTGGATATTAGAGAGCATGCAGACTTATATATATTAATAAATTTTTCTTATCACTACATGGTATCTATATTTATTTTCTTATGTATATAAAAGGAATATAGTCCAATCTTTCCTCCAAATATCAGGAAAAGAAAAACACTGTTATTTAGTATGAGTTGCATAGTTGTGTTCTTAAGATGTGGTAATACCTGTTTACTTATAATCTAGCCACATAAGGCAACCATCTGTGAATCCTAATAGAAAGTGTCTAAATATCACCTTGCTATGTGACAGACTAGATGATACACTTTAGAGCTTAAAAACTGAATTAATAAGACCTATATCACAGACATCACAAAAATAATACTATTACTCCTAATACTTTAACCACCACCACTATTTTTTTAAAGATTTTATATTTATTTGAGAGAGAGGGAGTGAGTGTGTGAGCAGGGGGAGGGGTAGTGGGGAGGGGAAGAGGGAGAAGGAGAGAGAATCTCAAGCAGACTTGCTGTTGAGGAGGAACCCCCCTGTGGGGCTCATTCTCTTGACCCTGAGATCGTGACTTGAGACGAAACCAAACATTGGTCGCTTAACCTACTGGAGCCACCCAGGAGCTCCTCACTGCCACTATTATTAACAATTTAATAATGGCTAACTTTAGGCACTTACTATATGTAAAATCCTATGTAGAATACTTTATAAGTATTATATCAGTAACTACTTATAATAAAGAAATGATATCCTATGAGGATTTTATTTACAGATGGGAAACTGAGATATAGATGGAGCAAGGTGAGAAGCAGAAAACAGATTCGAATACAAGAAGACTTCAGGGCCCACACTCTTAAGTAATACTTAAATGAAGCTTCATCTTCACAATCCAGGCTACCAGATGGCTGAAAATGAAGGAAATTACTTTTTGGTGGTGTGAGAAATGAGTCCCTGAGGGCTAGCTGTTCTGCCGTCTGACTTCCTTCATTAGTGTTCAGGGCGGCAACATTAGATCTCATATTGGTAGGCTTAAGTGGAAAGTGAATTACTCACAAATTTCATCACAGAGGTTATACACTGATTATGAATAGCAGCGTTTATGGTTTGACTGTGATTTTCCTTTTTTTTTTTTTTTTTTAATCTTAGTTGCTTATGCTGTTCCTGAGCAAGTATGTGTCAGGGGGAGAGAGGAGAACAAGACAGCATAAAAGAGTTCAATAATAAGACTCTTATTTTTTCCCACTCTTCCTGCCCTGTAGTGACGAATAAAACAGAAGTATTTTCTGCCTATAGAGACAGCTGTCTGACAACCACATGATTCCGGCAAATCTCTGTTAGGAGACACAAATGATACTTGGGCAACTAACCAGGTCAGAGTGGAGGAAGGAGGAAGTGGGAGGAGGACTCTTGACCTTAGCATCTCTCTTACAATGACATCTTACAGGCTTGTGGGTAGAAACCAGTAATTCTAAATTAAACCCAATGGCAGATATGGAATATAGTTGATTCCTGTTATTTAGCAGTATCTATCTATAGGGTTTCTATTTCCTTTTTAAAAATTTTTTTATTGTTATGTTAATCACCATACATTACATCATTAGTTTTTGATGCAGTGTTCCATGATTCATTGTTTATCATAACACCCAGTGCTCCACGCAGAATGTGCCCTCCCCAATACCCATCACCAGGCTACCCCATCCTCCAACCATCCTCCCCTCTAGAACCCTCAGTTTATTTTTCAGAGTCCATCGTCTCTCATGGTTCGTCTCCCCCTCCAATTTCCCCCTCTTCATTCTTCCCCTCCTGTTATCTTCTTTTTTTTCTTAACATATATTACATTATTTGTTTCAGAGGTACAGATCTGTGATACAACAGTCTTGCACAATTCACAGCGCTCACCATAGCACATACCCTCCCCAATGTCTATCACC